ATTACAACTTGTTAAGAAAGAATGAAAAAGAAGAACAATTGATAGATGAAAGATTTTAAGAATTAGTAATTAAAATGTTTGACGTAAATAATTTAGAAATTAAAATAAATAAAAATATATTTTACATCATATATGATGTCATTTTTGTCATACAATCAATTATACATATTATTTCATCACTATATGTTGACGATATATGGTTCAAAGGACTAAAGTGATTAACGAAGATAAAAGTTAACAGCTAACATGAAAATTTTTAAATCATAGACACTAAAATGCTTGATACTAACGATTTTAAGGACTATAATTTTAAAAATGTATTTCACATCATATATGACATTGTTTTTACTATATAATTATCCTATGTTGATAGTATGTAATTTGAAGGACTAAAGTGATTGATAAAGACAAAAGTTAGAAACTAACATGAAAAATTTAAAATTATAAATACTAAAATGTTTGATACTATATAATTTTAGATACTAAATTGATTAATTAGAGGCTCTTTAGGGACTAACTTGATTAATTAAGAATTCTTTGTGAATCAAATTAATGAATTCTAAATTTATAGATTGTTTGGAGACCAAATTGATAAGTTCTCATAAAAATAAATTCTATGTCATGCTACTTTGTCTGGTTTGTTAAATGTTACATGTCAAATTAACTTGTTTGTTAGGGTAATTAATATTTAAGTATCAATAAAGATTAAAATGATTAATGATTATAGGTATTGGGGATATAAATAACCTTTTGCTTGGTTTAAAAACTATTTTGATGAACCTTAAAAATGATAAAAACAAAATTGAGAATTCATTCTTTTCAAAATGGTCAAATTCGATCCAACACTTTTTCTTTTTAAAAAATACCAACTGAAACCTTAAAAAGATATGATATTTGCCACGGCTATACTCATCTTTGTTGGGTATGAATATGCCATTTACGTTATCACTTTTATATATAACAAATTTAGTTTGGAACAGGGAGTTCAAAAATGTTCTATGAATTTGACTCCTTAGTAGCTATAGACTTCTTGTTGCTGAGTTCTTGTTCATTTAATACATTCCACCACTTTAGCGTCAACCCAAAAGTTGTGTACATAGTTCAGTTTGAGATTGTTCTATTGGTGTACATACTTTACTCTCTATTCATGATAAGGCCTCATTTTCAATCCTACCAAAAAGTAGAGTATTGATCACTTGTCTCATTCTACTAACTTAGCTCAGTTTGAGATATTTCAAATGGGTTATGTACTAATTTGATATTCTCCATTTTTTTAAATTATATATTTTTAAATAATTATATATTAATGATAAATCTTCAATAATATTTTACATATTCTAATGCTGTAATTTTATTTGTATATTATTTATTTTTTCAACAGGATAAATGATATACATGTCCATACTGAGATTGATTGTAAAAGCCCAATGCCCAAAATCGGAATGTTGTATTTGGAAAAAAAAAATTGTTGACCAAAAACAAGCCCAATGCCCAATCCATCTTTTCGTGCTTGAAAGTTTGTATTTATCTGCTGTGTATTCTTTTGTTACAAAAATCAGATCCCTTAACATCGTGGGTAAAATTTAGATATTTATATAATTTAATAATATTTCATAGAATATAAAATTAATTAATTTGATTATTAATTCAAAAAATTTTGTTAAGTAGATATTATATTACTTTATTTTAATGCATATTATATTTTAAATAACATACTTATAAATATCAAAGTTATATAAAATTTAATATATATTATCATAAAAATAATATAAAATAATTCAATAATTAAATTAATTGATCTTATATTTTAAAAAAATATGAAATAATATATACATTTGTATTTTATACATGGTCATGAATAGAAATAAATCAAATTGTCTTACCAAAGTTTATACTCTAGTCCAATTTATTTAAGTAATAGACTAAATTTAATTTTTTTTTAAATTTAATTAATTAAATAAATAAAATTTGAACTTTAAAAATTTATTAAACTAGACAGATAAACATATTTAAAGCTCACTGATTTTATAAAAGCATATAATATATATATAATAATAATTTATTTATTTAAATAAATATATAAATTGATATATAATTTTACTATAAATATTCAAGCATTGAAAATTTTTTATGACTTATTTTAATTATATAAATTTTGTAACTTTTTTATACACAAATCTATTCAAATAGTTTGATAATCTATTTATAAAAAAACTTAATGTTTATTAAAAATTTAATATAAAATAAATTATTAAAATATTTAATTAAATACTTAAAAATTTAAATTAAACTTAATAAAAAGATTCCTTATATAATATATAACTTACCAGAAAATAATAACAATGATTCTGTGACCTAAAAGAAAAAAGGATTGAAGATGTATATTAAAAATAAAAATAAAACATTGGCACAGTGAGTCTCTTTTTGCGGGAAACCCGAAGAATACCAAAACCGCGACGCAACAACCAACCAATCCTTGACATGAAACAAGTGAGCATCGCGCGTGGCTGTTTCATGAAGCAGAGCAGGGCACCAAAAGTACTCAACAAATTTAAAAAAATTATATATATATATATATATATATATATATATATATATCGATGCAAATTAAACATTATTAATATATTTCTATCATAATTTAATATTTATTAATTTCTTTCAATAATACTATTAATATAATTTTTTTATATATTGTGTAAAATTAACAAAAATATTTAAAAACAACTTTAGAGAAACATTAAATAATATTTTGTTAAAATGATTACATTAAAATACAAAATATTGAATATTAACTTTTTAAATGCTTATATACATGTATAGGGATAAAATCTTTTATGTAAGTCTAAAAACTCATACATTCAAGCTGAGTCTTTAATTTAACTTATATTTAATGAGTTATAATTTATTATTACATTGACCGTTAGATGTAAGTTAAATGAAAGGTTAAAATTAAGTATAAATTTTTAAATTTACAAAACAAATGGTATATATATATATATATATATATATATATATATATATATATAACATATTAACTACTCATTTATCATATCAGACTACTAATTTAAAAGACTTTTTTTATAAGTCTACTTACCATCTTTACTTTAATAAAAAATATTTAAACTTTTAAAAATTGTGTTTTTTAAATTTCTTTTTATCAATTTTTTTATGTTTCTCTTCAATTTAATCATCTCTTTTAATACTCTGATAATTTCTCTATCCACCATAATTATCTCTTTTATTTTTTTCTCATAAGAGTGATATATATGATATTGGTAATTACAATTATTAAAAAAGTTAAATTTTATTAAAAAGTATAAACAGTTAAACAAGTTTTTTATGAGTTACAGGTATGTTAAAAAGTATTTAAGATTTATAGTTTTTTTTGTAATGACTTATCTAAAAGTATATAAAAAAATTTATAGACTATGACTAATAAAGAAAAACAGAAGTAAAAATATTTTATATTAAAATTAATTATCATATGAAAATAATGAATTTATCTTTTTTTAAGAAAATTAAACTATTTAATTTTAATGGTAGCTAATGTTTACTAATATTATTAATATATTAATGCTATGACTTTTAGTAATCATTTTTATTGATTTCTCAACCAACTTTATTAACAAAAGCTTGTATTTATCATTTACGTATCATATATCTACGAGGATAGTCAAATAAACTTTTATTTCTCAACCAAATTTTAATAATATGATTATTATTTTTATTTAAATTAAAATGACTTAAATATATGTTTATTCTATGGACTTTTAATTCTTCAGTTACATGTTGTACCAAAATATGACATTTAACATAAAAATGTTAGCACATAACAATTTTATAATTACTCAGATCATTATTAGAGTTTAAATTTGTTAAATTTAGAGCAAATATAAGGATTAAAATTTAAAAAAACTATAAAATTAAAGTTAAAATCTAACAAAAATATATAAAAAAATTATTTAAGCTAAATAAAAAAATTGTAAAAAAAATATAATACTAGTACTAAAAATTTACTTCACTTAGAAGACTTATAAATGATTTTAGTTTCTATATTTTATAATTTTTTATTACAATTCTTCTAACATTTTCTATGATTTTAGTTCTCTTTCTACTAAACTAATCACACACATAGTCATTAATTAGCTACATCGTTATTTAGTGATTATTAAGAATCAAAATATTAATTCTTAAAAACTAGAGATCAAAACTATAAAAGAAATAATAAAGTGTGCTCAAATAATTTTAATACGTTTTCTTAATATTATTCTCAAATTTTAAAAAATATCTTACTAATTAAGATACTGAATAAAAATATAAATTATAATTTCTATTGACCAATTAATATTCAATAAAAAAAAGGTTTTAAAAAGTTGAAATTAAAAATTCACTGTGACCAAGGGAAAAAAACAAATGCTAACAATATTAAAAAATATTTTTATTATATTAAAGTTTTAATAAATTTTTAAGTAAAAATTACTATTTTTAAGTATTTAAATTCAATTTTAAAAATTGGATTAACATTTTCTTAAAAAAATAAATTTTAATTTATTAACCACGACTCTTCGAAACTTACTAGCGAGGAAAAGAAAAACTTCGTTAATTTTGCTTTTTGATGGCACTATTCTTGAGTGTTTCCCTTTTCGGGAATTACATTATACCAAGTGACTCGTCGTAGCATAAATTTTGTTTCCTAGCATTCAATGCTCAATTACATGCCACAGTGTTCTCTCTCTCTCTCTCTCTCTCTCTCTCTCTCTCTCCAATCCATAGCAGTAGATCAGCAATGCTGCTACACACACTGTGATAAAACTGTAAATTCTGGTTTCTCGAGAATCATGAGCGAAGAAGAGAACAAGGGTTCTGCTTCCAACTCTCCCTACACAGGTCATTCTTTTCCTCTCTCTCTCTCTCTCTCTCTCTCTCTCTGTTGTTCCACTGTCTGGGGTTTACGTTTTTGTTTTTGTTTTTTTTTGTTTTTGTTTTTCTTTTAGCATGTAAAAAGCCATGAGCTTGAACTTTTATGGGTTTGTCTTCTCTTGTATTCCCATTTATTAAATCGTAGGTGTTGTGCTATTCACAATGTAGGTTACACTAAATCCTTTTTTCCTCATTTGCATTATTGTTATGCCTTTGCTTCGCTGCTTTATGTTGTTCGGTGTTTTTATCAACGTTTTCCACCACTCAAACACTGCACTGTTAGAAAAAGAGGATTTTTATGATGGAAAATGTTTTTTATTTCTAGAATAACTTAACCAGTCATATAAAAATTAGAAATTTGTAAATTTTTTCATTTCTAATTAAAAAAAGAAAGAAATTTATTTTGTTTCCACTAATACCGGTTTTGTGTTATTTAGTACCCTAACATCCAGAAATTAAGACTTAACATACATCGATATTTCCCTGAAAAAGGCTTGGTGGTTGTGCCAGCATTATCATGGGTATCATCTAAATTTTCTCATTGGTGTTTGAGCATTATAATTCATTATGTATGTATTTATCCGTATTATGTCTCTAGTGAACTCCTCTGATGCATGAATAACAAATTTTTCCAGGGTAGTTTTGTTGCTTTGCTGGCTCCAAACTAGAGAGACATTACTTGACAATTTTGGAACTTGTAATGTTAATAATGGAATTGATAATGCGGCTGATATAGGGTTGTGCAGAGTAATTTCAGTCATTTTACTTCAACATTTTTTGAAACAAAGACAAAAGGTGGAATTTGGTTATGGTTCAATGAATGCTGCTATTCTGTTGTCCTCAACTTTTTGTGAGGATTAGTCTTGTGGTACCTCCTCCCCTTGTAAAGGGAAGAGGTTGTACCTTTTACACCCTACCAGTTTTCTTGATGCCTTGGTCATAATCAGAAAAAATAGGATTCACGAAAGATAAATTGTGTTTTAGCTAGATCTACTGAAATTTACAGTAATGCAGATGTGCATTGGAATTGAAGTGGATGAAATTGTCTTAAGAGGTTCAAATTGAGAGTTTTTGGTTTTTTTATATTCAAAATAACATGGTGAGGGACTTGAAATTTGCACAGGCTATTTTATTGTTAAAGTTCATTACTTTTGAATCTAATTAACGCTTAGTTTGGCCAACTATATGCTAATCAAAGTGTAAAAGTTTTTCTTTTCTCGCCTGCAGCTTCTGCACGTGGTGAAAACCCCACACAAATTTGTTGTCATCATTTTTTTTATAAGATTTATTCTTAATTAATGCATATTGTTTATACATTTTAGATATTCTTGTCAGATGATAAATACAGTGTTTAATTGGCAAGAGGAAAGTCATGAACATTGTAAACTTGTTAGAAGATTTCCATAAAGTCATGCTGAACTTTCTTTATTTTCTTTTTAGAGATAATGAAGTTCAACCTGAAATGCTGTTCATATTTCATTACAGGTTTTCTTCTTGACCCTGCAAAATGTGGTGATCTGAGTTTGCTAGACAAACAAAGACTAGTCCGTGAGATTGCTGGACAGTCAACAGATGCCCCAAGTATGCTTCAGTCATTTACACGCAGGGAACTTCTAGAAATAATCTGTGCTGAATTAGGCAAAGAGAGGAAGTACACAGGATATACCAAGAGTCAAATGATAGAACATCTTCTGAAGATAATCTCTAAGAAATCCAACTTGCATGTCAATGGAAATACTCTTGCCCATTCTCCTGCCAAAAGTTGCATTGGATCTCAAAGGAAAAAACGACCTGCATCTCAGGATTTACATCCTGCTCCTCTGGGGAACACTAAAGAGGAAACAGTGAAAATCTTTTTGTGTCAGAATGTTGCATGCAAAGCTACATTGAATCCAGAAGACTCCTTTTGCAAGAGATGTTCTTGTTGTATATGTCATTGTTATGATGATAACAAGGATCCTAGTTTGTGGTTGACCTGCAGCCCCGATCTTCCCAGTGAGGAGTCATGTGGAATGTCATGCCATTTGCAATGTGCTTTGAGTAATCAAATGTCTGGAATTTTGAAGGGCAGTTGTGGTGTAAAGTTGGATGGAAGATTCTATTGTGTTTCTTGTGGAAAAATTAATGAATTAATGAAGTAAGTAGGTTATATACTTGTTTACAAACACCCAAAAATGTAAAATATGCATAGATAATTACATACACAAATACATCCTTTTGTGTATAAACTCACTGAGAAACCCCATTAATTACTTATCATATGTTCATATGTTGTCAGAAAAATTTATGTTCAAAAGAAGGGTTATTACCCGAGTCATATTGGTTGCACTGCTGTGGTTTTAAGCACCACATGTAAATTACTGTTGACTATTTAAATGGATATCTGGATTTTGCAGGACATGGCGAAAGCAATTATTGGTTGCCAAAGAAGCAAGAAGAACGGATATACTTTCTTTGCGAATATCCTTGGCCTATAGGATTCTTGTAGGAACAGAAGTCTACAAGGAAGTGCAGAAAATTGTAGAAACTGCTCTCAGATTACTGGAGAATGAAGTGGGATCACTCGATCATGTATATGCTAGGATGACCCGTGGGATTGTGAGCAGACTCTCATGCGGTGCTGAGGTTCAGAGACTGTGCTCTACTGCAGTGGAATGTTTTGATTCCAAGTTTTCTGACCTCTTCTCTAATTGTGTGGTAAAGAAAGATACGCCAAGTAAGCTTTTTTTTTTCTTTTTACTGAAGGTCAGCTGATTGAACTTCTAATTGCAAGGCAGGACCAGAGATTGTCTGGATTTTTATCCTAATTACACTTTGAACTGTAGTCAAAGTGTACACAGTTCATATCTGTTATCCAATATTATAGCAAATAGATGTTGGGTTAGTCTTTTGAAACCAGAATAGCATTTTGTGCATTTTGTTTATGTCAGAAGAGCACATGACTCTGAAAAAAGGCTTGATAGCTGCTTAAAAATAGGAGAAATGAAATAGAGGAATATACTGCATGTTTAGTTCAACTTATGGAGTAACCAGCTATTTATGTCAGTCTCCTGAAAGAAATATCGAAAAATAAGCAATTACTTCGCTAGAAAAAAGTTATTCCAAACATGCTAATAGTGGGGAACTAAATAATCTTTTTTTCCCTCAATTAGTGCTTGTAGCAGATATGGAAATTTAAATGGGTTACAATTTCCAAGTCTCATCCATGGTAGGGTTAATTATCGAGATGAATGTGCATTGGAAATTGCACAGTTTTTATTGTTTTATTCATGTATGTTTGAATATGACATCATCTTGGAAGATATATAAATAAATTTTATTCAAGGCATTCAGCAATATTGTTTTGGTTGATATTTATTTTCCTTTCAACTTATTTTCAGTAGAATAAAATATCCTCCCCCCCCCCCCCCCCGCCAAAAAAAAAAGTCCTATTTTATAAGACCCTTTTAATTAAATCACAGATCAAGAAGAGTTGTTAAAATTAGTTAATGTATTGTTGGGTTCTGAAAAGTTAATTACAAGTATACTCCTATTCAAAGTTAAACTCTATTATTATATTGATTGCTGAGAAGTTAGAAAATTTCAATTTTTATGAAGAGCAGATGTGAAAAAATAATAAATACTTCTAGAAATTTATAACGGATCTTACATTAAAGACCGTCAAAAGTTTTCAAGAGAGTCTTATAAAAAGAATTAGGGGGAGTAGCATATAATGAAAATAGTATTCTTCTGACAGACTACTATAAACAGTCTATCCTTGTTTTCGTATTCCCCAGAATCACTCCTCCACTTGCATGTAATAAGGAAGAGAATAATATCAGCTGAAAACAACATTGATTTGATTATATTTTCCTGTATTAGTTAATTGCGCTTTTCTATTTACCTACACTGATTTAGCCTATCTTATAACTTAATTTGGCAGCATGCTATATCCGTTTTGAAGAGTGTCTTCCTACATCAGTGGTCATTGTGCTGGAATACAAAGATAAACTTCTAAAAAATTTTCTAGGCTGCAGGCTTTGGTACCGAACATCAACAATTGACTACCCTGAACAACCCACCTTCATTGTCTTGAGGCCTGAGAAAAGATTCAAGTTGGAAAACCTCCATCCTTCAACTGAGTACTTTTGCAAGGCTTCCGTGTTCAGTAGCACAGGGATTTTGGGTGCTGCAGAAGCTAAATGGGTGACACCTTGTGAACCCACAAATTCTTCAAAAGTTATCAGACATGGTGGGAACCATTTAAGACGGTCCCCTCAGAGATCCCCAGGTACAGGTGTGGACATACGTGCACAAGACCAAATTAAGGTAACTGCTGAAATTCATCAAGTAGAATCAGCTAACTCTGACATTAAGTTATCAACCGGAGAACATCCTGCAAAACACCTCTTTTTGAACAACAGGAGCAGGTTCGAAGAGTTTCTCACCAAACCTCAATCAGTTGATCCTTTTTCTTATAAAACTTTTGCTGCAGTTTCACCTTCCACACCATCTAAATCCAATGAAATGAGGCAACTTACCAGTCTGAGTTATAGAAAGCGCTCTAAGGAAAATGATTATGAGTATTCTGTCAGGGTAGTCAAATGGTTAGAGCATCAAGGGCACATAGATGAAATCTTCAGAGTAAGATTTCTCACTTGGTTCAGCCTCAAGGCTACTCAGCAGGAGAGAAGGGTGGTTAGTGCTTTTGTTGATGCATTGATTGATGACCCAGCAAGCTTAGCAGATCAGCTCATACACACTTTCAGTGACGTGATATGTTGCGAGCAAAAATCTTAGTGAACATAAGATCTACACCATATATTTGTTTTGGTCCGAGTGCAAGTCAATCTATATATGGCTTTGGATGCTTGGATATAAAGTTGTAACACTTTATGGGAGTTATAGGGACAGTTCATGTGTCAGGGTTTCCAATTGTTCATTTGTTCTTCCGGAGGTTGGTGGGGGGTACTAGTTTATTATGGTCTTTAGCAATTTAGTTTAGATTATGTATTGGTCAGTGGACTGATTGTTGAATACAATATCACATCCCACCATAGCTCTCAACTTTAAATTTCTCGTCATATATTCGTCACTGTATTTTTAGCTTACGTAATTAACAATACTTAAAACGATTAACGGTTTAAAAAGTTAGATAAAGGCATAAATGCAGTGTTCTAATAGTAATTTGAAAAATAACACTTCCATAATTTCCCAACCGCCACTTCTAAAGTTTTGCGCGTCACTTATTCCAAAGCATTTAGACGTGAATTCACCTCAAACATGCGCTCAAAATGTGGCTACACAGATTTACAGTTTCTACTTTCTAAACAGAGAATGCATAGACCTTTTATCTGCACTAGTACATTCACTTGGCAATTCAGACAGTATATAATTGAACGTCAACTGACCAGGGGGAGCCAGTAACCTAAACACATCTCTAAAAATTTTCTCAAGATGTCTGGTGCATTAGTACAAACAGTAACACCAAACAGCTTAGTCTATGGCATTCATCTATGAAATTACTTCTTCATTATTCATAGTTTTTTCAATGGTTGGACATTCTTTCACCTTTGTAACACCATGATGGTCCCCTTCGTGAAACTACCAGCAGCAATCATACATCTTCGGCATCATTGGCAGCTTCATTCAATGCAGCAGCCAAGTACTCAGCAAGGCTTGGTCCAGGATTAGAGTTTACAGAAACAGCTGATGATCCCTCCCTTTTCATACTTGTTGATTTTGAAGTCCAGGGTTTTGAATTCTCAGGTGGATTTGTAGTATTTAAGGAACCAACTGTTGCCATCCATATCACAGGTTTTAAATGCTTCCACGGATCTTCAACCATGGACCTCTTGTAAAATCGATCTGGACCACAAGATCTGTCCTCGTTGGACCAATGGCCATGAAAACTCACTCCTTGTCCACTACCTCGTCCTGAAACAGGGTTTCTAGTGTTGTTCCAGAAGCCCCTGCCTCGCCCTTGACTAGGGCCTGGACTGTTCCTATATCCCGGAGAAGGATTTGGACTGTAGCTGGGTCGGTAAGTTATGCCCTGTGCAGGGTTATATAATGGACGACCTGCTGGTTCAAATCTAGGACTTGAATAAGTACCACCTCTTGATGGATGATATGGAAAGTTATGGGGAGCAGGGCCTCTAGGTCCACTCCAAACCGGATTTCTATACGCTGCTGGTGATACTTGAGTAGGAGGGGGAGTCATCTGAGTATTTGTTGATTCTGTTATTTCAAATCAACGAATGTGAATTGTAAGAAAGGAAAGGTGACTGTAGATAGTAATCAGAGTACATGAGAAAAACTCCAGGTATACTGATGATCATAACGATACATCACAAAATAACTCATAAAAGCAATGCTGCATACCGTAGTTCAACCATTCCAGTTCCAGAGAAATTTCTCATACATTAAAGTGAAGCGTGAAGTTTTGGTACTTGAAAATTTGGAATTACGTCACTTGAATCCTCCAAAAATCATTTAGATGAAAATCCATATTGGACTCAACCAAGTCCTTCTTTAGGCAAAATTAATATAATTAACATAAGACTAGACATCCAACTTGATTGAGTCAAATTTTAGTGTGCTGTAGTTATAGTCAATTGACGTAAATAATCTTCTGACAACTTAACGAATGTATATCAAAATTTGAAGGGAATAAATATCAGTCCACTTTAAACTAAAAGGGTGTCAAAAGGGAAGGGAGGTTGACCCCTTGAGACAGTATAAAGTCCTTATGCCAGTAGTCATGGATGTAATATGAATAACATTCGCATAAATTAGGTCTAATAGCTTAATGTCACATGAATATATAAAGACTGTAATGGTCAGCAATGATTAGGAAATTACTAGTAAATCGTCTCAAATAAAAGGAATGGATAGACAGTTCAGTACCTAGATGCGGTGATGAATATTGCACCATAGGAGAACCACCAAAATTTGGAGGAGGGAAATTATCTGGCCTAGCCTGGATATTGGTATTGCTTCTTTTGTTAGAAGAGAATGCACTCATTGGATCAGTATAAAAGTCGAATCTTGGAGCAGCATATGATCTATCCAGTGATGGCATAGTTGAAGGTGCTTCAACCAGGGGATTAGAAAGCAAACCGGGCATCCGAGAACCTTCAATGCCACCAGAAACTTCAGCTTGATCAGCTTGCATGCGCATTTCTTTCAGCCTTTTCTTCCTCTGCTCTGAATCCTCCATATAACCTGAGAATTAAAAAACCAATTATAGCCACCCCATGTTTGTCACAAACACACCAACTTAAAATTGTGCTCAAACATCATGGAAACAACAAAAACAAAAACAAACAAAAAAGTTCTCACGATTTATGCCCTTTTATTTTTGTTTCCTGTATATAATTTAACAAGAAACTTAAGAAAAACTAATAATTTGCAGGTAAGTAACAATCTTCTCACGCCCTAGATTTTTATTCAATGCACCCTTCACCTATTTCAGAAAATGCCACAGACAACAAGGTCAAAATTTGAACCATTTAACTCACGAACACTGGATATGAAATCACAACATAACTTAACAAACACACAAGAATCTGCGAAAACTACACATATTTCAGCACAGTGAGAACATATTTTTTTAAAAGGAGAACAATAGCCAAGCCGACTTAAGCAAACTACAAAACAGTATGAAACTTTCAAAAATCAAATTTTAATGAAGAAACAAACATTGAGTCAAACCCCAAACCAAATTCCAATGCATTTGAGTTGGGACTATTTCAGCAAAAAAAAAAAAAAGTGATAAACACAGAACAGTGGAAGAAATCGATATTTTTTTCCCCCTTTTTGCAACTTCCAAAAAAATGATAAAAAAAAAAGAAGAGAGAAGGTAATAGGGTTGAAACGAGTGGATGAGGCGGAACCAACCAATGAGTTGTAGAAGGAAACGAGGGTTAGGGCAAATCGGGTTCTGTTCTCAAACGCAATGCCTTTCTTCGCCGAAATACACAGAAGATTTTATTTTATTTTAATCGAATTGGGTTTTAATGGGTCGATGAGAAAGAAAATAGAAGAAGAAAGAGGACGGATTCCATTCGTTACCAATAAGAACATGTTCAGTATTTTTGTTCATTCAAATTGCAATTCGGTCCCTAATTCTTGTATCATCTAACATCTCTTCCTTCATTAACTCCATTGCACCTCAGTTTAATCATGGTTTTGATGTTCTAAATATTCGTGAAATTTTTATTTTGTTTTTTTAATCTAGTTCTTTAAGATTTTTTATTTACTTTTATCTTGTTTTTAATAATAATTTGTTAATTTATTTTATTATTTATGAAAAATTCAAATTAATTCATAATTTAACTAAGATATAACATCAACTATATTATATTTTTATTCTTTAATGAAATTTTGAATTACAGAATTCAAAGTTTTACAATTAAGATTTTAAAATATGAAAAAAATAATTATTCCCTTTTGACACCCTTCCAGTATAAAATAATTTTTAAAAAATATTTGAAAAAAAATAAAAACAACGAATGAAATAAAAAAGTTTAAAATCTTGAGGACCAAAATTTTATTTAACACACCTAGAATTCTATTCAGAGTAGAGAAGCTTGAAGGGCACCGCACCACCACCGTATGAAGTTCACTGGAGCCACCTCACCACACCATCATCACACCTCACATTATGATCAGGACCCTAAACATGATAATATCAAGACTTAAATGTAATTTAAATATTTTAATACCAATTTTATAAAAATTTAAACTATTTATATATAATAACTTTTCTTATAGTATCAAGTTAAAAGTGAATATGAATGGATCCCTGGTGGTCCAAAACTTACCGAGACCACCCTATAAAAAGTTAACACCTTCTTAACTATTATTGTTAATCTTTGGTAATGCTGAAATTTTAGTTTTAATTTCTACATTTTAAGAATTTAGGTTACACAAATTAAGAACATAAAAAACGTTAAGATATATACTTTACAATTAGTTTGTAAAGAAAAATTAAATGTCACTCATTTATGTATATAAAACCTAATAATTTAGTTTAACTTATTTAAAAATAAACTTAATTATGAGTTAGTTTGCAAAATACATAAATTAAATTGTTAAAATTTTAAGTAAAGTAACATTAATTTTATAAATTATGTTTTTAAGTAAATATATTAAATACACTATCATAATATTTAAAAATTACACACAAAATAATTTATTTAAATTCTCGCTCTTTAGAAAGTAAAAATAAGAGCTCTTTAAATGTTTATTTTTTATTTTCATTTATAACACTTAAATTTAATATCAATCGAGCTTTATTTCATTAAGTGATATTGATTACATGAATCATATTTTTAAACTCGTTAAAAACTAATTTTTTATAAATTTAATTAATCAAAAAATCTATTTTAATAACTTTGTCTAAGATTTTTTTAAGTATATTTCAACCTCTTTTTATCATACTAAAAGCAATATAATTCATTATTTTTAAATCTTCAAAAGATCTTCTCTTAACTCAAATGAACCGCTTTAATCAACATTTTTCTTTGTATTATCATTTCATATCTTCTCATTTTTCATGTATCTACTCGTCCATCTTTTAACATTCTAATAGTTGGTGATACATACAATGAAACCTTTCTTTCACATGACACTTTAATCAAATACCTTAAAAGGAAATTCAAACTTCTTCGCACTTGAATCAACCAACATTTTATTAAAAGTGAAAATAAGAATCATCACTTAAGGCAGGAAACTAATACATCAAGGCTCGGAGTGATTTGACCACCCGGTAGACATTTTGAATAATCAATCGTTGTTTTAAACAATTTAGCCTACTTAAATCTCCAAAGTGAGTATATGTTATAATGAGATAAGCTCACACTCTATCGACATAAGAATACCTATGTTCTCCTTTATCTCATACTGAAAATTTTGCATTTGAATTTGACCATTTTGAAATCCTTTGCAGCAACATTATTGTTAAAATCTGAGAAGCCTTATTGATATTTTAAAGTTTGAATTTAACAAAATTGGATATAAAAGAGACCGTAAATAAATGAAAATTTTAAATTATTTCTTGTCAAAATTTTGTTTACACTCACGTGACTGGATGGTGGCGGATTGACTGGACCTAATCATAGATTTTATTGAAGTTTTATTTTTCTGATACAATGTGATGCATGGCGCTTTTATCAACAATAATTCTATTTATGCAATTCGTCCTTAACAAATTGCAATGTTTTTTTTCACATCAGATGCTAATACAATCGAACTAATGAAAGTTAATAACAATGTTCTGTAGTATACAAATACCAACCGACACGTAATTAAGGAGAGATATTAGCCTTTTATTCCAATTTCACTGTGTTTGCCTTAATCATTTGCAAATGTGTTAATCCTTAAGCATATATAAGCCTTTTGATATTCCTTGTTCATCTTGTGCCATGTTACCATGGGGTAGTGGATAATCGCCATAAAACCTCATATACTGAGGAAGATGTAAGATTGATTCGGAGGTTCAATGCTAAATCCTTTCTCAAGCTTTTGATTTAATACATAAGATTAACAACTAATTTAAATTTAGATATACCTTGGCAATGTGAAGACAAAGGGACTGGGATTCTTTTTTCTCTTTTGTTGGAAACTGTAACAAGTGATAAATCTCATTCTAGTATAAAGAATTTAGTGAGGACAACAAAAAGGAAGAAGACATATTTTTAAGATTTTAAAAGTCAAGATTTAATATCAAGCCTACTTTTGCGATCCTTTGCTTTAATTCATTAATAAAAGCCTCCTTCCTTTTAAGCTGTCATCTTTTGTTTAGATTAAGATAAGAGTTACACTAAAGCAAAACAAAATAATGTGTGAACTCACTTGAGTTAGTGTGAGCGATGAAGTCATATGTTAGTTAGAAATAGTTAAGCTAGGCCTAGAATACTATAAAGGGAAGGCTCATATACCCACACATGCAAGTGAAAACACCAATTTTAAAGACAATAATTTATTTACAAGTGTTTTAAAAATTCTCCAAAAATTCTAAAAAATAAACTATACATGCGTTAATCATCTGAGAAACCAAATTGACAGAGCAAGATGTAAAATTTTCATCCCATATCAGCGCATACACTTCCAAATTTCCAATATAATTTGCAAAGCACAGTTAGACCCAAATATGTTACTCATCTATGAAACTGTAATCCAAACACGGTAAGACACTAACAATACCTAAACTGGTTTGAGATAAATTTCTTTTCGAAACCTCAATTGTTCTCCAAATTGTGGAGAGCTTGTTGAGCCACCCGCAATTGTGGTTCCAACCGTAGAGCTTCTTTGTAAGCCTTAATGGCATCCTCGTTCATCTTCTTTCGCTCGTAGCACTCTCCCAACGCGCAAAAAGCCTTCGCATTGTTGGGGCTTAACTTAATCGATTCGGTTAAATCATCGAGGGCTGAGTCGACTCGGCCGCGTTGACTCGTGCCGAGTCTCAACTCGGCTCTCTTGAGGAGTGCGTCTCCACGCTCCATATCGGTGAGGGACTTAGCGGCGCGTGAGGAGAGGGCTTCGTCGAGAGAGTCGAGGGCAGCGGAGCGGAGGCCTAGGAAATCGAGGGCGAGGGCCTTAAGAAGGTGAGGGGCGGCGTCGTTAGGGTCGAGGGCGATGGCCTGTTGGGCCTGGGCCTGGGCTTCCTTGGCCATGGGCCGGGACTTGGAGGATCGGGCTCGGGCCAGAAGTTGGGCTCCATGGACAAAGTGACGCTTGGCTTGGATGTCGGCGCGGTTTCTCAGACGGAGCTTGGCCAACACCCTTTTGGGAACGTCGTGCATGAAGAGGTAAGAGAAGATCATTACCAGGACCAGACCCACCTGCAAAACGATGTCGTACAAGGATGAGTCTCTGTCGGTCTTTTCCATTGAACTCTGGATCTTGAATCTCGAATAGTGAAGGATCTGAAGCCGAATGGGAGGGGAAGATGATCGTGTACGAGTGGATGGATGAAATTGGAATTGTTATTGCACAGTACTACTCCACCCTGTAGCTGCCGTGTTTGATTCGATTGTGGGTTTCATTTTTTGGTTTTCTTCTTCGAGGGTTACATAATTAAGAGTCCGGTTACCTCTTTTGGTTTCAGATTGATTTAAAGCTATGAATTTTAAAACTCTCGAGTGTGGAGTACCTGGAGGTAGGTAAAAGAAATGGATGAGTGGACTAAATTTATTTTATTTTAAAAAACTATAAATTTATAACTTGTAATACTTAATGGTTTTTTTAATTAAGAGATTAAAATTATACATAATTAAAATTAAAAGGAAAAAAAATATAGTTTAACCTCAGTTTTCTTTCTTTCCATGTATTAGAAATTTATAGCTTGCGATACTATAAGTTTAGAAAGTTTAATTACGTCTTAGTGAGTCTAAAAACATTTTAGTTAATTTGACTTAACAGTAGATTGTATTCAAGGGCACATCTGGGTATCCATTTATAACTTTTTATAGGGATCTATTTAAAAAATATAAATACATAAACATTAATTTAATTTTTAACAATTAGCAAATAATTAATTTAAAAGAAACTTATTCAATATAAGATCATCATCATCTTCTCATAAAAATTCATGGTAAATTACGTGTCTTATTTTAAAAGTAAAAAACCTTAATACCCAACAGTGGATAATCACAATATAAGTAAATCTTAAGCAACAAATAAAGTTTATAAGGACTTGCAATGACATTTTATTATTGTTCACATATATTATGGACAAAGTTTTTTGTATTAGATTAAACAATTTTTAAGAGAACATGTAAAATAAAAAAGTGAAAACTTTATTTATTATTTTTAAATCAATGATAAATAAATTTTAAACTCAACTTCCAAAGAGTCAAATTAATTATGTGTTGGCTTGATTCAACTTTGAGGTAAAATAAAATAAAATAATTCATTTAATTAGGTAGACTTGATTCATTTAGTTATATATTTTCAATCAATTCAAACGTCATCAACTTGATTGAATTGATTTAATTTGAATAATCATATTTCACTGAAAAATTAAATTTTTTAAAAGATTTCACATTTTTTAAAGAAAATCTTAAATTTCATATCACTACAAGCTAAAAGATTTTTTTTTATTCACTCATAATAATATTGTTATTCTAAATACTAATGTTTTTTTAATTATCATATTTTTGTTTATGATTATAACGTTATATATCTCGTCATTCTTTTTACACAATTAAGATAAATAACATACTTGAAAATAAAGACGTAATAACAGCATATAATAAGGTTACGTTAGATGAAAAAAAAGAAAATAAAAGTTAAAATGGATAAATTTAAAAATCAAAAACTAAAAAGTTAATTGAGTTTATTTGAATTGAAAAACACAAATCTTAAGAAAAAATCAATTATAATTAAATTGGTTTGAGTTTCAAATCAAATAAACTAATATAAACTAATTTAATTAATTTGATTTAAATTATTAAATTTATCAGGTCAATCCAATTCGCAAAAAGAAAACCAGTAATGAAATGTACATAACGACACAGTTGTCGCTAATTTGCACCACTATCATAGTATTAAGAACTTACATTTATGGAGTATTAAGAGATCATGGTTCCAGACGATATCTGATACACACTGTCAAAATGATTATTACACAATTTACAGGCTTAAAAACAATAGCAAAGTTCAAATAATTATAGCTTGGAGGCAGCAGATTACAAAACATTTTATAGATCTCAAAGCTATAGATAAAAGAGCTTGAGGTCATTAGTTTGCCAGTCCAGGATCCCCTAGGATACAGGCAGCACCTATTAGCACCTCTTTTAACTTACTACACTTGATGGCTTTAAGTGCCCTTATGAAATGGGTTAGCATGAATCAACCGATATACAATTGCAACAACCAAAGGGTTCCATCAATAGGAGTATATGACCACAAGGGTCAGGTTACTTGTTAACAGTTCCACAAAAGAGTAACAAATTTTAGAACAAAAAAAGGCCAATCATAGGCTGCGTACTCCTCATGTCCCACCCATTTTTATCGCATCCGCTGGTGACTTAAGCAGCTTCTTTATCGACTCAACTATGCTGGCGAAAGATGGGCGATCAGCAGGGTTACTGCCGAAAAAATTCACAAGAGTCAGAAAGAAATCAATGCAGTTATCGCGGCATAAAACATTAATGAATTATGATCATTTTTCCCTTGATAGTAGAAGGTTCTCGAATGGAAGGTAGAATTGCTAAGACACGTCATCAAAAAGGCCTTCAGTCTATAGTTAAGAACAGAAGCCACACTACTAAAATCGAATCGAAATGAGTCACAACAAAATTTTAGGAATTTATTTTATTCTATGGAAATTAGCCTGCTCGTTCTTCAACAATTCCAAAATAGAATTCATTCAATCAACGAACTAAATAGAAAATACCACCAAATGCAAACCAAAAATATGCACAACAAAGTCTAACTTAGTAACTATTATCTGGATAAGGTATGCATTGATCAGAAATTCAAATTGAATGGATGCCTATTATGCCCATCTTGCCAGAGGACTAACATTTCCATAAAACCAAATGGACCAGTAGTATTGCAAACAGACGGACCAATAGTATAGCAAACAGAGTATTACCACAAAACATGACATAAACAATACTTACTCAGCCCAACAAGATTCCATGAGCGAGGCCAATGCCGGGGAGACATTTGAAGGGATAGCAAGCCTCCTATTCTGGAAAGCGACAGCTCCAACCACCTGAGTTCACACACAAAAATTACTATACAGAATTCACCTATATAAACTTTGCAGGTTTCATTTTGCTATTAGGCTGTTTAAAAAAATGAAGGTTTTCATTATACCTCCGTCGTATGTCTTTTTAAATTAAGAATTTCTTGGAAGTGATCCTTATTACCATATAAATGAACAGATAAGTAAAAGTGATCAGCTTTTAGCATATGCAATTCAGATCTAAAATACCTAACAAATTTACCTGGGCATGACTCATTCCATTCCATGGTTGCTGCAGGGTCACGAGTTCCCACAAAATAACTCCAAAACTGTAAACATCAGACTTCTCATTTGAAGGTTCTCCACGAAGAAATTCTGGAGCCATCCACTCAGGCTGAAAATAAAATTAAGAGAGTTACACACTTATTGAAGGTGTGGCACCGTGAAGTGAAAGTTCAACCTGCAAAATATTAATAGAATGACCACTTTTGTTAAAAGGAATTTGCCTCTATCTACACCAACATGCAGAACCTACTAAGCCAGATAGTATAATGGACACAAATTTTCTCCCTTAAAGCACACCTGAAAAGCACACTCTCTCCACCCAAAAGACCAAACCTTCCTCAAACAACTGACAGCTACGCATCAAATCTCACTGCTAATCAATCATTTATCCAAAAAACACAATTATATCCTTGTTCTTAACACCAAGTTGTAAGGGGAATGTTAATGAGAAGTAACAGCATTGCTGACTACTTCAATCAAGATGCATTGATGTGCAGCAACGTTAGTTGAACTCTCTTTACTTTCAAACCTGAAATTGCTACTCAGATAATTTTCAAACCTAATGATCATAATTTTATTTTCTTATCATCATGCTAGTGCACATCATTAGTGTGTGAAAGACTTACTGTTCCAGCAACAGATTTTGATGATAAGAAAGTGTTCGCTTTAAATCTTGACAATCCAAAATCGCAAACCTGAGCATGACAAGACAAACAAATTACCTAGGGGCACACGATTTTTAAAAATTTCAATGAGACTCAATTGTTTCAATTCGTTCCATTATACCTTTACAGTCCAATTTCTGTCCACTAAAAGGTTTGGGGTTTTGAGATCCCAGTGCACAATTGGAGGCTTCAGACAGTGGAGATAATTGATCCCTTTAGCCTACAATCAGACAAACCATACATCATATATCATCAACAAATTAATTTATTAATGAGGCAAAATATTTACTAATTGGGACAAACCACGTCTAAAGTCATCCGTAATCTTCTCCTTGGATCCAGAATTTCACCAGATGAAGGCCGGTGAATCAGGCGGAATAAACTACCCCTGTCATAAATGTGCCAGAAAACAATAGTAAGACACTAAAAAAGGTTCATGAAAGAAAATTCGATAATACGGTTGACTACGAAAGAAGTTGGATGTCTTACCTAGGCAAATACTCTGTTACTATAGATAGATGGGGACGTTTAGTAACTGCACCCATGAAGAGCACCACATTTGGATGACGAACACGTTTCATTATTGCAACCTAAAGCAATGAAAATAACAACTTGAATTTAACATGCTTCACAGCATACCTTTAGAGAAAGAGTGAGTTCGAATTGAATATTTAATATTATTATGCTCAAACTAGGGATTCATAAAAGGATATAAATTTTAAGATTTACATTACAGATTGACAGTATTACATAAAATTCACTACTCTTCCCAATAAACCATATCAGCATACCTTCGCATTTTTTCCATTAGAACGCTTAACCAACATTACTTACTAACACCACTTTCTGCAAACCAACCAGTGTGGACACATCTAATCTCTACAGAAAAAGGTTTCCAGTTCAAGTTTATATGGGTCCAGTGTGGGTCCAATTAAATTGAGATGCGGTCAGGCATGAAAGAGTTGACTAATTTACTTGCACAGATAGCATAACTTATACATTGAAAACCATGAATTCTGGGTCAGCTGATTGCAAGAAGTTGAGTAGATGCAATATGTATATTGGACCAACTAATTGATGAAAGGCCCTTAGAATGTGCAATTGGGAAAGGAACTGAGTAGTTTGTAAGAGGTTGGATAAAATTTCCATGTAGACATTACATTTGGAAAAAAAAAAACAAATAACTTATGTCAAAACAATGTGTGACATGAATGTGATTTTTTGTTATTAAATGTGAATATTATAATAAACAAGCTTATATCACTAGACATCACAGAAGATAAAACAAAAATAACAATAAATTGCTACTATGAAGATAAAAATAACAGGTTTATCTCACTAGACATCACAGAAGGTAAAACAGACATAACAATTTCCTACTATCAAGATAAAAATAATGCAGAAATATAAATAAGCATGGAAAAAGGAAACCGGTAAAGGCAACTCAAAGAAACATTAGTAGGAGAGAGATTGTCTAAGCAGAAACTCAACAACAAAACATAGTACTAAAAGGAATAGAAGCATTTTTAACAGAAGAGAAATTCATAGAATTAGAAAGGCATGACATACAAGACACTAGACAAATGATATTAACACATCCTCCTAATTAAAATAAGAGAAATGCTAAAAACAAATTCTTTCAGAAACACTTTTATTTACTGGGTCCAATATGAAATTCCTAATAATGAAGAGTATGTTACTAGCATTCTTCATGAGGATAATTGATGTTCAGTTACTATGTATGCATTCAATAGCATGTTGGGCAAAACCACAGTCAATCAGATCCAAAATAATTGCAATAAATAGGCGCCATTGTCCATTCGTTTAATCCATTTTTGGAAGGCTAACCTCTCTGAGAAACTCTTTCAACTGATCATCATGGAAATCCTGAACTGTTAAAACCTTGACAGCAACATCCTGCAATTGTAAAACCATCAGTAAATGCACAAAAATGGGGAAATTAATATAGAAAAATAATTGGCTGTATCAAAAATAATTAAGCGGCAAACACAAGATGCATCATGGTTCAATTTAATAAATTAAATTGGCAACTAAATGTCACTCATGCAAACGACTACAATCAAACAGATTTAAGAAACTAAGGAATATGAAGACATAATTACTAAGCACATACATAAATTTCAAATGTACAAAAAATAACGTCAATTTCCAGCGTGATGAAAAGAAGTGGGTATTTCAACACTTACTGATCCATGCCAGTCAGCACAGTACACTGTTCCAAATGATCCTACATAGATTAAAGAGCAAAAGCAATCAACATTTGAAGTCACGTCGATCATATTCCTTCAAAAGGAAGTAGGGGGAAGTAGAAAATTTACCAGCACCAACTCGCTCTTTGATACGTAAATCATCCCACGGTATCTCAAGCCAGTCCATTGCAAGCGACGGCTCAAGATTCAAGTATCTTGGAACATTCCCAGCACCCTGGCTTTCATGCCTATTCTCTACCTGTTCCTGTTCTGACTCGCTGGATGAACTTAAAATAGATTGCTTAAAATTACTTCGTACCCCACAACTTCCCTTTACAATGATCTCCTTGTTGGAAGTGTCTTGTACTACAACTGAATCTTTACTGAGCCTGGTGTATTCGTGTAATGATGCTTCAGAGACAGGATGAAGAGCTTCAGAAACACCTTCATAGATGGGAGGAAAATTTAATAAACCTAGAATAGCACGTTGCCTGCCATTCCTTTTCAAGCCAAAAGGAATTAGAGGTGGTTCTGTACCTCCAGAAGTTTGATCGACTGAAGCATAAAAGAAGCCATTATTATTTTTCAGCATATCAGTTCCTTTAACTCGTTGATCTTCCTGTACACAGCCTGCAAGAGAACGAGAAACAACTAAGACCAACTTCAGAATAGGAATGATTTCTACAAATCAAGATTTGTTAAACAGCAGTGTACAAGCAGAGGATTTTTCTGTCCTCAATGGGTGTCAGTCTTAAATTTCAGAGCCAACCGTACTCCAAAAGTTAGGGAAGGAAAAGGCCAAAGCATCTTTTAATGCATGAACTATGAAAAATCAGGGGACTTGGGCTAGAGGAGAGTATGAAGAAAAGATCAAATTTCTTTGAAATAAGCATAGATCTAAAAATTTTCAGACAATGAAAATGAAACATGTGGCTCAGAACTTTGTTGATGAGATAAATAGTTCATTTTATACAAGCAAGCATGGTGCTTTTGTGCATCTACATCATTTGCAAATTTAATGGACAAATTTTTATGTAGTATAATTTCACACCAAAAGAAACCACCTAGTAAAATTATTTAGGCTATTATAAATAAGGTTCAAATGAGATGCAACTCAATGACCAAGAATATATCAAGATTTAAGGATACATGGACTCTGAACTAAAAATAAAAAATGTTCAAAATAAAAGGAAGATCAAATTTCCAAGTAAATATAAAATCACAAGTCACAACACACCTGAATAAGTGTCACTTTCCGGGATTATAGAACGTTGATTGAAACTTATAGATTGAGAACATGCTGCAGCATCTTCATATGGTGATTGGGACTCTTTCAAATGAGAAATTTGAAATGGGGAAGGTATGGAAGACACATAAGCTCCATTGATGGATGAATCTGGCCCATGGACATTTCCTGGATCCCCAACCAGGTCAACTACATATTCCCTGTTAAAAAATAAAGCATATAACAAGGCACCAACAGACAATATGAAAAAAATGCCAAATTCTTGATACGCTGATCTACAAGACTTTAACAACAAACCAAATGTTCTACAATGTCAATAAGTTATCAGTCACATGCCAAAAATCTGACATGGCAATCTAAACAGAAAGGTGTAATAATACAACAACTCATACAACTTATTTATCCGTAAATTTGTAGAAGATTATGAAAACCCAGAAAACCTAGATAACTATGAAAAGGTACACAACCGTACAAGAAAAATTAATAGAACTCTAGGCAAGAAAAGAATGAAAATGTTCAAAATTACTGTAGCTATCCACTACGATTAACATTAAAGTATCAGCATCTGAACAGAGGCATGTTTGGTGACATTACTATAACATATCAAAAGGACAAAACAAACACAAGAGCTGCAAAGACAGTCATTGCACTAACCTTGAGAGTTGTCTGTCATCCTTAATCTTCACAAGGCAAGAGGATCTATGATCCGAAACACAGTACCTGCAACCCCGAGCAATGCGACACGGCAAACCTATGTAATCCGCCAATCTCTACATGCAAAATTAAAATATAACTGAATTATTTCAAACCTCTAATCAAAGATCACGAAAAACAGTAACGCAACAACGACACGCCCTCCTCTTAACGCAACCACATGAAAGAATAACAAAAAAAAGACAAGTTCTTCACCTTGAAGAGAATCGCGCGATGCCTGCAGAGTCCACTAGATAAGCTTCCAATGGGAAGCACAACACATTGATGAAAGTTCCTCAACCTCTTACTAACCAACTTCCATCGCTTGTGTAGATCTCCTTGCTCCACCGGAAACGTACCCCTTCATACACATTCAACACCAAATAAATAAATAAACAATAACCCAAAGCAGAGCGTATAAAAAAAACACGGTTATATTCTTAAATATCTTGTTCTTACCCCATACATATGGCGACGAGTTTTCCAAGCTTTTCAACCAGCACCAATGTGTTCTCGGAAGCAGAATACAACTCTTGAGCTTTATCTTGAAGTTCCTTAAGCCGAGAGTCCTCGTGCCAATCAACAAGAGCCACCTCTATAGAAGTCTCGCTTGGTTCAACGGCCTTAAGCGCCATCAGAGTCGGTAACCGCTTCCCTTCTTCCCCCACGTCATTGCACATCACCCACAGATACGGATTCATCCCCAAAATGTTGTAAAAACCATCAGATATCTTGTCCGTGTACGACAAGCACCCACTCACCTGAAAATAAAACAAAACGTTACTTCTCATGCTCCGTGAAACTGCACTTATAGCAAATGTCGTTTCGTTTCGATTTGTTGTCGTACGTACCCATAGACGATACGAAACGGATTCGGCGTCCCAAGTTTCGATTTCAGCGTCGAGCGTTAGAACGGGCTCAGAGGCGAGGCTTGCAAAGCAAGTGAGCCTCTTCGCTAACGCCAGTTGCAGGTAGTAGCTCTCTTTATACTTCTGAAGGCTTTTGCGTTTTTCTTTTTCTTCTTCTTCCTCTTCTTGTTCGCGCCTTTTCGTCGTGGAGACTTGAAACGACGAGGTTTCGACGTCTTTGGTTACGTCGCTAGAGAAAGTGGCGGTGCCATCCAACGTGAACAAGCTTCCAGCATAGCTGCTCCCGCTCGACAACCGCGGCAGCGAAACTTGCCGGTCGAAGCTCCGGTCAACAGCATCTTTCGCCGCCGGCGCCGGAGGAAGCAGAAGCTCGCGTTCCTCCTCCTCTTCCTCATCATCGTCGTTTGGATAGGGTTTGAAATGGTGACTAGGTCGGTTCTGATCCTTCTTTTTATCTATCAACCAATCGCAGAACGCGGCAATTTGCTTCTGCTTGGTTAGGAACTTGTCGCCGGCGGTGAAGAGGTCGGAGACGGCGGATTGTTTACTAGAGGAGAAAACGACGTCGTCTTTGGCAGCGGTAGTGGGAGTAGTAGACGGCTTTTTCGGCCCGTCGCTTTCAAATCCAAAAGCACTATCTGATGATTTTATGGAGTTGACGATTTTGCTCTTCTCGTGATCTAATCTCTGCTTGGAAGATTCATCCAAGCCTCTTTCGGGAAACTGCCTTGGGAAAAAGTAAGTGGCTCTGTGAGGCATATTTTCGGTGTCACTGTTCCCCCTCACTCAAAAACCGTGATCTCAACCTTCCACTTCACTTTCTTTTTTCAATTAACCACCCACCCAGACGAACCTACACCTGCAGGCACAGACGATTGTGATGCACGCACTCACGTGCCAACCACTATCCTCCGTCTTCGTCGCCGTCGTCTTTCTTTCCTCAACCTAAACGTAAATATTACTATTGCCTTATATCCAAACACAGCCTCTTCCCAGCTCTAACAGTCACCGCCATCGAGTTTCCTCTATATTATGAATATTGGATATTGCACTTTTCTCTTTTTCTAACCCCGAAAGTCAAGGATTCAATGAGCAACTCCGTTTAAATCTATAGCATGTGCGTCCAACCTCGAAGACGAGTTTTCAGAGAGCGATTGACCTCTCACGGAACCGACGAGGAAGCGTGAGTTTGTAGAACTAGTATTTTAATAATAAATAATAACAATAATAAGCTAAGCTAAGCTAAAACTCACCGATTTGAGAATTCGGATTTTGGAGGCGGTGGATAGTTATAGAGAGTGTGTGTCTAAAATTTGGTGCAAGCTGCTCTGGCCTCTAGTTGGTTCGTGGGATGATTGTGACGACGCTGTATTTTATGCAGAAGAAAGGGTTGCCATGCTACTTGTACTAGAGAGATCGTGGAATGTTGCAACGGATGGCGAATCGTAAACATATAAAGTCAGAACGTTAACATACACGGGAGAGTTAGTGCGCACCCTTTCTCATACCGCGACACGTAAAATAATGGCCAATCAGTTTGTGACACATAAACAAAGTGCGCACTGCGCTTAATGTACTGCAGTCTGGAGCCGCGGGTTTTTTTTATTTTTTGAAAATGAATAATACTCTAGTAATATCACCTTTCTTCAGAAATAATTATCCTTGGATTTTACATAAAAATTAAAACCTGCTAATTATATTTAGAGGACAATATACTCTCCTTCTTTGAGAGGAAAATGTTTTGTACTCTAGGAATATGTTTTACCTCTCCCTTAAAATTAGACAATTGATTTTATATTTTTTTCATTTGATTTTTAAAATAAAAATAAACTACAGTTATTAAATAAGGAAAATAATGGTTAAAGATTAAATATTTATGAGTATAAAAAATTTACACCTATTAAAAATACTTAAATTACATACTCTTTTTTATTTTGAGTTTTTTTAGTGATCAATGTGTTGTATTATACTCCATTTTATTACGTTTTTATACTCAAATTATGTTTTTAAAGTTAAATGAAATAAAAGTATGAAAATGTGCAATAAAGATGTATTTGGCTTAAAATAATTATCATAAAGTTAGATTTTTCTCATTTTAAAACATTTATTTGAGATAAAAAAACATTATTTTTCTATCTTATCATGTTTTTGTAATATTTAAAAATAAAATAACATTTCCAAACTTATGAATGAAATAAAATTTTTAAATTGTCTTTAGAGATACACATTTAGTGAGAGATTTTAAAATAATATTTCTCATGTTTTTCTTTTGCAGCAAGCAAAATAAAAAATGTTTAAAAAACAGTATTTATATATTCCAAAAAATAAAAAACAATATAATATATAAAAAAAGTGTAAACAACTTAATATTACCCAGAAAAATATAGTATAGTATTAAAAAATTTGAGTCGCGCAGCTCGAGACAAAGAACATGGTATCTTGTAGCATGCAGAGACGGTAGGAAATGCCGATTTATTATTATTTTTTTCTTTTTCCATTTTTTACCGTAACTGTTAATAGTTATTTGCCAAAATTATATTTCTAGTTCTGTAATCTTCTTAAATTTTTCTCTTGTCTTATAAATTTAATTTTTTTAAATTTTCAAACGCAATCGTCCATCTCTCCTTTGTATATTTGCTCTGCCCATAAGAGTATTATTATTTATAAATTAAAATATATAATTAATCTCTATAATGAATATACTTATAAATTAAATTTTAAAATTTTTAAAAGTTATATTTTTAATCTTTATATAATTTTTATTATATTTTAATTCAATCACCATAATATATTTTAAAAAATATTAAAAAACAATAAATTATAAGAATATTATTATAATAATAAATACTAAAATATGATAAATTACTTGCATAAAAATAAAACATAAACTTTTTAAATATAAAAACTAATTTATAAATTAATAACTGTTATGAAAAATAAGCATACATTTGAGCCTTATTTACAGTGTGAGTAACTAAAATATAAAAAAAAACTAAGTACAGTATTGTAATTATTGTTAGTGCTATTATTTAATTAAAGTTAAAATTTTATTATAATAATCTGTATAATAAAATTAATATTAAAAATAAGTACTACTGTCATATATTATAGAGAGATAAAATTTAAATTTTAATTAAAGAATAATATTAATAATGTCTATTATTCTGTTATTAATTTTTGCAAAATATAAGCGTAAGGCTTGACCCTTCGATAAATGTCACAGGCAAATGCTAATCGACGATTCCCCGTCCACTTCAATAAAACGAGTTGATTTTTATTAATGTACTTATAAAATAATTATTTAAATCATGTTTAAAATTAAATAATCAATTTAAAAATTTTAATAGTTAAGATATTTAAATGGAAAAAAAAGAAGAGAGTAAACAACCAGCTTTTGCCTAATTGTTTTTTATTTCTTTTATAACAACGGCATGTGACAAGTCTGGTGACTTTTAGGGAGATCTACGAACCTACGACTGAGATATTGATAGTCGTGGGATGAATCAATATAGTGTGAGTATGTGCTGTAAAGGCTAATACGCTTACTATTTTTGACTTTAAATTTTTGTGGATTTTCTTCTTTCTGGTCCGTTTTTCACTTGGTCTGCGTGAACCCTTCCCAATCTAGTCCAAGTTTTTCTGCGTTTTTATTTTTCGTTAGGCAAGTCCTTGCTCGTGTTTAGATTTTCTTCCCCTTTTTATACAGTTTACATTGTTGTGTTATCTTTGGGTTTTGACCGTCAAAATTAGAAAGACTGACCCCAACTTCACGTTTTATTATAGTTATATAATATTAGAAATATTTCAGAGAGAAAAAATTATAATTTTTATTAATATAAAAATTTAAAACAACTACAACAATAATTTTTTATTAATGTCTTTATATCTGTATAAATTATTTATACTATTTTAAATAAATAAAAAAGAATAATTAAAGTGTATATATCTAGTAAGGGATAGAACTCGTAGAAGTCTATATCCCCATCTTGTAAAAGTTCTGTGAACTACTTTCAAAATCAACCTCAATAATAATATCTTTCATTAAAAAATGTTAGTTGTTGGGACATATAAAAAAATACACACAATTGTTTGCGTGATACATATAATTAATTAATATCTCTCTGATATTTTATATTGATTAGAAGTATATAAACAAGTTTTATTGGATATAATAATATATTAGTAATTTTCTTTAGAACTGATCCTTCCATTTTTATAGGAATTTTATATTTTGATTTGTCCACTATGACATAATATAAGAAATTGATAATAAATAGGATAAAAAATGTAAAAATGAATATAAATAAAAACATGTCAGTATATTATAGGTATTTATTTAGAAGTAATTTTTTTCATTTTCTTTTTGGGAGTTTCTGTTTCGATTTGTCCATTGTGCTATAATGACAGAAGGAATCATAGGAATATATCATATATATCAAATTAACCTACAAATTTTTTAAATTTAAACATTATTGAGAATTGAATTATTGTTGACTGTTGAGATGTGAACACTTTACAAACTTTCGCAAAATCTCTTGGTTCATATTTATCAACCCGTGTCTATAATTTATGTGAAGAAATGTTCCAAAAAAATATTTATTGATGTAGAAACTATGAATGTTACACATCGTATCATTCTTGCCCAATGTTTTACTTGGATGAAATGAAAAATAGGCAAAAAAGAAAAAAATAATATATATATATATATATAACAAATAAAATAGAAAATATGTATTGTTTTGATGGATAAAAATGAAAAAAATAATATTTTTTTACATATTTGAATGAATGAAAAAATTAATAAAAAACAGATAACTTGTAATAATAATAACAACAACAATAATACAAATAAAACTTTAAATATAATAGTGTTTTAGTGGTCTGATTTTTAATAATTTTTAAAAAGTTCAAACATATGAAAATTTTGCCAAAATCTCACCACTTTGACTTAGAAAATTATTTTTGTATCCATACAAAATAAAACTTTCAAACACATGAAAATTTTGGTTTTCTACACTTTTCTGTCCCTTTACTTTTTCTTTAGAAAACAAGCAGAGTATATAAAATTAATTCAAAATTAAAACAGTTTGTCGAAGATATCACATGAAATAATAACTCCTTCATAGATGGACATATGAGATTTTGTTTATTTATTTATAAATAAATAACTGATATAATTTTTAAAATAATGTCTTGATTTTATTATTTTATTTAAAATAGTGTTATTTATCTCATCAAGTAATTTAGAGAAACTTATTTGATGATATTATTAAGGTAAGTTGGACATTATTCATTTAATTTCATGTTGAAAATCGTTAAATAAGTTTAAAATTTTTTATAAATATAAAAATTATTATTAATTTTTCATCACACCAAATATGGAGCATTTTTAAAAATATCCTAGACTTCAACAATTATGATTTAGAGAGGTTTAACAGCATTATTCGGGCAATGGTCATAATAGAATAATTTCCTTTCTTTATCCATATAGATTTAATAAAAAATAGTTTGTAATTTTAATTGTAGACAATTTATAAAGAATAAAAATATTCTTTGGATTTATAAAAATAAAAATGTTAAATTTATATATTCAGCTTTTGTTTCTTTTTGTCCTTATATAAGTATTTCTTAGAACAAAGAACGTGAAGGTTTACCTCTCCTTTTTGGGACAGAATAGGTGTCCAAAACCGTGTGTCCAAATGCTTGGAATATGCTAAACAATGCAAGCATGACATACTTTCACGTGCAAAGTGAAAATTGCCCATTATTTTGTAACAAAAATTCAACTAATTTGTTCGTGTGACCCATGATGAATCAATTTGCCCATTATTTTGTAACACAGCTTCAACTAAATTGCTGCTGTAGTCAATCAAAAGTTTCTTCTCACTGTCTATTTGACTTGGGGACGAGGGGTGTAATGTAATTGTAAACAACCTATGCTATTAATTTGTTAAGTGACTAATTACAATTATTTGCTCAGTTATATTATTTGAATAGCAACAAATTAAATAGTGTATAATATTATATATAAATATTTTACTTACTTTTTATTCTTTTTATACACATATATCAAAATAGATAATAAAAAAGGAAAAGATAAGCAAATTTACGAGAAGCAAATTTAGCTTTAATAAACTTGACATTTTAATAACTTTGTATTAAAATTAATTTTTGTTAATTTAACAACTATTTTCTTATAATATTATCAAGAAAAACAATGCACATAAAGTCTTACACAATTTAAACATTCATAAATACATAATTCAATAATAATTTTATTCATATTTTACATAAATGTATCCATTAAAATAATATGAGATAATAAAACATCAACCAATACTAAATTTTTTTAAAAATTTACAGGCTTAATCTAGTTAATAAA